CCCCTCGCTCCTCCCAGTTCCCTCCGAAAGAGGCCCCGCTGCAGACGCTTCACATGGACGTGTGGGGCCCAGCCCGCGTCCGTGGACAGGGTCACGAGCGCTACTTCCTGCTGGTGGTTGACGACTGCTCGCGTTACATCGCAGTCTTCCCCTTGCGCAGTAAGGGTGATGTCACTGAGGTGTTGATCGACTGGATCCGCGCAGCTCGTCTCCAGCTCAGGCAGAGCTTCGGCTCGGACTTTCCTGTTCTGCGTCTGCACTCTGACAGAGGCGGAGAGTTCTCCTCTGGCCTTCTACGAGCCTACTGTTGTGCACGAGGCATCCGCTAGACCTACACGCTTCCGGCCTCTCCGCAGCAAAATGGGATTGCTGAGCCCCGCATTGGCATGGTCATGGACGTCGCTCGTACGTCCATGATGCATGCGGCTGCCCCCCATTTTCTGTGGCCGTTGGCGGTGAGGTACGCGGCGCATCAGATCAACCTCCACCCAGGGTCTCCAGGCCGGAGACCTCCCCAGCTCTGCTGTGGACAGGGAAGGTTGGCGATGCGTTTGCGTTCCGTGTCTGGGGATCTCGGGCGTTTGTCCGCGACTTCTCTGCGGACAAGCTGTCTCCTCGTGCTACTCCTTGCGTCTTCCTGGGCTTCCCCCCTGACGCGCGCGGGTGGCAATTTTACCACCCCACCTCGCGCCGTGTTCTGTCCTCTCAGGACGTCACGTTTGACGAGTCGGTCCCCTACTACCGCCTCTTCCCCTACCGCACTCCGTCCCTCCCCCCGCCACCGCTCTTCCTTGTACCAGGTCCCCCCCCGGTAGACCCCCTCCCCCCTTAGGGTCCTGCCCCTTCAGGTGTGTCCCAGGTAGACGCAGTCGAGCCTGTCTAGGTTACTGGTGACTCTGGTGCTGCTGAGGGTGCTGAGCCTGGGGGTGCTGAGTGTGTGGGTACTACTCGTTGGGATGCTGAGCCTGCGGGTGCTGAGCCTGGGGATGCTGAGCGTGGGGGTGTTGAGCCTGGGGGTGCTGAGCCTGGGAGTGCTGAGCTTGGGGGTGCTGTGCCTGAGAGTGCTGTGCCTGGGAGTGCTACGCCTGGAGTTGTGGAGCCTGAGGGAGCTGGACCTGTTCGTGTGGCGTCTGGTGGTGCTGGGCCTGGAGGTTCTCCGGGTGCTTTGTCTCGGCGGGAGCCACTCTCTCCACAGAAGTTGGGCTGGAGGTTCTTCGGCTACTGAGGGTGTTAGTGTCGCGGGTCCTGGAGGTGCTCGTACTGGGAGTACTGGGGCTGCTGGGCCTGCAGGTTTGACTAGAGCTGATGCTGCTGAGGGTGTTGGGGCTGAGTTTACTTCTGGCGGTCCTGCTTGGGGGCTACTGGTGCTGCTGGAGGTCCTGGAGCTACTGGAGCTGCTGCAGGTACCGGAGCTGGAGGTGCTGCTGGAGCTGGTGCTCCTGCTGGGGGTACTCGTGCTGTCCCTGCTGTGTCTAGATTCGCCGCGCGGCCTCGACCGTACTTCGTTCCACTCCTGCAGCGGGTTCTTGGTCTTTCGCCTTCTACTGGTCCTCCTCCTCCCTTAGAGTGTCCACAGCCTGTCCCGTCACAGTTACAGTTACAGCCTGCCTCCCCCTTGCATGCTCCTTCTCCCTACACAGGTCCTACTAGAGGTCTTGCTGAGCGTCATGAGCCTGCGTTTCGCCCTGCGTCGCCTGTCCGTGCTGCTCGCACTAGTGGTCGTGGTTCGCATCAGCGTCCTCCTCCTGTCCCTGGCACGCACCGGATGTCTCTCCGTCCGTCCACTGCTCCTCTGCGTGCCCCTTTGCCTTCTCCTCCTGAGTCCTCTCTTTCTGCTCTTGCCGACCCGGATTCGGACTCTCTTCGTGCTGCCAGTCCTACTATCACGCGTCTCCTTGCTACCGTCATCACTGACCCTTCCTTTGAGTCTACTGTTGCGTCTGCTTTAGTTGCTGAGCTTGTCGACTTTGCTGCGCGCTGTCGCCTAGACTACGCTGCTAGTCTTGTTGCTGAGTCTGAGTCTGTCTGTCCTCCGTCCGTCGGGGGTGAGTGTGCCCTTGGCATGGACGTTCTTGAGGACAGACAGGAGGAGTTCCAGTGTCTGGCAGCTGCTTCACCTCATCTCGTATCCGTACTGCTTACCCCTGAGGGAGACCCGGATGCACTTGACATCCCGGCTCTGCACTCTTACGCAGAGGCGATAGAGGGTTATTCCTCTCAGTGGCAGGCAGCTATGGACACAGAGATGGCTTCCTGGAAGTTCACTGGTACCTACGTTGACGAGGTTCCCCCGCCTGGGGCGAACATCGTCAGTGGCATGTGGATCTTCAGGGTGAAGCGGCCGCCGGGTTCTCCGCCTGTCTTCAAGGCACGGTACGTGGCTCGTGGCTTCAGTTAGCGGCAAGGAGTTGACTACTTTCAGACCTTCTCTCCCACCCCGAAGATGACCACTCTTTGGGTACTGCTGCACGTTGCTGCTCACCGTGACTACGAGCTGCACTCTCTTGACTTCAGCACAGCTTTCTTGCAGGGCAGCTTGCACGAGGAGATCTGGCTGCGCCGCCCACCGGGCTTCACTGGGTCGTTCCCTCCTGGTACCCAGTGGAGTCTCCGGCGTCCAGTCTACGGTCTCCGCCAGGCTCCACGTGAGTGGCACGACACACTGAGGACTACGCTTGCGGCTCTTGGGTTTGCTCCTTCTACTGTCGACCCGTCGCTGTTTCTGCGCACCGACACCTCTCTGCCGCCGTTCTACATCCTCGTGTACGTCGACGACTTGGTCTTTGCCACAGCTGACACTGCTGGACTCGCCTACGTGAAGTCCGAGCTACAGAAGAGACACACGTGCACAGACCTGGGTGAACTGCGCAATTATCTTGGCTTGCAGATCACCCGGGAAAGAGCACGCCGCACCATTACCCTGACTCAGTCACACATGGTGCAGCAGGTCCTTCAGCGCTTCGGCTTCACATACTCCTCGCCTCAGGCCACTCCTTTGCCTACTCGCCACTCGCTCTCAGCTCTGCCTTCGGATGAGTCCGTAGAGTCGAGTGGTCCGTTTCCAGAGCTTGTTGGCTGCCTCATGTACCTGATGACCTGCACACGACCTGACCTTGCATACCCTCTTAGCATTCTCGCACGCTATGTTGCTCCTGGGAGACACCGACCAGAGCACATGGCTGCAGCGAAGAGGGTGTTGCGCTACTTGTGCAGTACGTCGGGCATGGGGCTAGTGCTTGCAGGGCGCAGTCTAGTGGTCCTCACTGGGCACGCAGACGCTTCTTGGGCTGACGACCAGGCTACACAGCGGTTGTCACAGGGTTACACCTTCGGCCTTGGTTCCGGCTCTGTCTCGTGGCGGTCTACTCGCTCGTCTTCTGTTCTCGGCTCCAGTTGTGAGGCTGAGATCTACACTGGGGCCATGGCTGCACGGGAGCTTCGCTGGCTCACCTACCTACTGACTGACCTCGGAGAGCCGCCTGGTTCTCCTCCAGTTCTGTACGTAGACAACAAGGCCATGCTGGCCTTGTGTCGAGAGCAGCGACTGGAGCACAGAACAAAGCACAACGCTCTCCGCTACTTCCTTGCTCGTGAGCTACAGCAGCGTGGACAGTTGCGGCTTGCGTACGTGGCCTCTCAGGCCAACACTGCTGATGTCTTCACCACGGCACTTCCGCCTTGTGATCATCAGCGCTTCTGCACTCGGCTGGGTCTTGTCCCTGTCTTGCCTCACTTCCTCACCTCTTGACCTTGCTTCTACTGTTACATATATATACACCTGCTCTTGTTTGTCTAGCTTTATATATATGTGTACTCTTGCATGTGAACTGGCCTTGTGGCCTTGAACTCGTGCTCGGAATGTGTGGTGACTTTGTGATCCACCTTGAGCTCTGCTTTGCTTTGCTTGACTGTTCTTGTGACCACTTGTTCTCCCCCACTTTGCCTATGGGGGTGTGTCAGAACATTATAGCTTATGCTTTTGTGTAGGCTGTAGTGGGGTATCCCATAGGGGGTCAACCCAATTAGGGTTAGTACTTGTACCCACTTCATTCATAGCTCATTCATTCTCGTTTCAGTTTTCTGAATGGAACTGTACTGAAGCGGAACGCAACTCATACAATCTCCAATGTCGAACGCAACTCGAGGAAATGACGGACTGCCCTGCTTTCTAGTTTCGGATTCCTTTGGGCAGTGGTTTTGACACCGCCTAATCTTTGCGCTCGCGTCCGATTCCTTGGGGCAGATAATTTTGACATTTTTGATAACCTTGTGGCCAGGGCAATTATGAATATTACCTGGTTTCAGTTTAGTGGCCAGTGAATCAAATAAACCCCTTTTGGACGGCAATCCATTCGTGGGGCATCAACCCTAAAACTGATTGCCACATTGTGTTTAGGGTTGATGCTTCCCAAGTTCATGTATTTCCCGAGAGGGTCATATATTTGTCTGCCTCAAAAAATAGCTACAATGTGCGTTAAGTTCAACAAACTGCCCGTGGAAATTGGACGAGATCGCGGAGCAATGTGCGGTAAAAAACACTGCCCATTGGAATCGAAAACAAGAAAACACGGCGCTTCGTCATTTCCTCACCCAATTCACTGCGCGACGTGGTGCGACGCGACGCGAGACATTTAGAAGGATCCGATAACCCAATAACATGCATGGTAGACTGAGATATAATACATGAAATAGGAAGAGAACTCCACACAAAACATAGAATACGAGTCCTGATCATCTCGCCAAATAGTTCAGCCACCTGAAACTCTTCACTTGCCGAACACAGCTGCCAATACCTCCCTTTTTCCAACTGCAAAAAGAGGCCCTCATGCAGCAATGGATGATAGAAGCTGGGTTCTGAGCCACTCGTTTACCTCCGCATCCCCCTCCAAAGCCTTGACCTGCGCTGCTACTGCCTTCAATGCATCCTCTGCAGCCATCTTGTCGAGAGGTAGCGATGCAAACTCCCGAAGGAACTGCCGTGCTCGCCCCACTCCCTCCCTCTACTCCTCCCCTCCCTCCCGCTTACGCTTGGCTGCACCAGCACCCGCACCAGCACCAGCAGCAGCACCACCAGCAGTAGCAGCAGAAGCAGCAGCAGCAGCAGCATCAGCAGCAGCAGCGGCACCATGAGCAGCACCAGCATCATTATCTGCACCAGCAGCAGTGCCATGAGCAGCAGGAGGGGCAAAGTCTTTGAGCTCCTGTGCCTTGGCGCATGCCATGGCCACCACCTCGGGAGGGAAGTGTGCAAACTCCGCCACGTGGATGCCAAAGCTCTGATCACACGGGCCCGGTTGCACCTGGGGGAGGGAGTAGAAACAACAAGAACCAAGATATTGCGAGCAAGGGGAGGGAGACAATGAAAGAGGATCAAGGAAATTTCTGAGGCGGCTCAAAAACCATTTAGATGTTATCAGCTAACAAGGGGAGGCAAAGAAACAGGAGCAAAAAGGCGCAGGGAAAGAGAAAGGAAAGGGAGAAATACGATAATGAATGAGCTGTTGAGTGGTTTTTTTGAAGGGTAATCGAGGCAACAATCACACTCAATAGCTGATGACAAAAGATGTATGAATACCACATATGAGGGGCATCAGTTCTTGAAATGAATTTTGAGTCGACTCAAAAGTCACTTCATGTGAGTGACCTTCACACATGTATGCATACCACATATGAGGGGCATCAGTTCTTGAAATGACTTTTGAGTCGACTCAAAAGTCACTTCATGTGAATGACCTTCACACATGTATGCATACCACATATGAGGGGCATTAGTTCTTGAAACGGGCGTACGGACCTTGTAAAGCATGGTGAGTTTCCTGGAAGCTTCGTCGATGTGCGCGCTGACGTGGAAGTTGGCAACACCACTGGAATCATCGCGGGTCTCGAGAGCCGTGAGCTCGTGAAAGTGGGTGGCAAAGAGGGTGGGCACTCTTGTCACATCCACTAGGTGTTCACAGATAGCCCAGGCGAGACCTGAAAGGAGGGTGAGAGGCGAAAGCGGGGGGTAAAACAGGGAGGAACAGGAAGGAGCAGGGTCTCGAGAGCTGTGAGCTCGTGAAAGTGTGTGGCAAAGAGGGTGGGCGCTCTAGTGACGTCCACTAGATGCTCACAGATAGCCCAAGCGAGACCTGGTGTGGGAGGGGAGTGGTGGGTGGAGGAAAGGCAAGAGAGCAATGAGTTTGTTTTTGAGGCGCCTAAAAAATCGTCTGGTGTGGGAGGGGAGTGGTGGGTGGAGGAAAGGCAAGAGAGCAATGAGTTTGTTTTTTTGAGGCGCCTCAAAAATCGTCTGGTGTGGGAGGGGAGTGGTGGGTGGAGGTAAGGCACGAGAGCCTTTTGAGTCGACTCAAAAGTGGATGTAGGGCAAGAGAGCCTTTTGAGTCGACTCAAAAGTGGAGGTAGGGCAAGAGAGCCTTTTGAGTCGACTCAAAAGTGGAGGTAGGGCAAGAGAGCCTTTTGAGTTGTCTCAAAAGTGGAGGTAGGGCAAGAGAGCCTTTTGAGTCGACTCAAAAGTGGAGGTAGGGCAAGAGAGCCTTTTGAGTCGACTCAAAAGTGGAGGTAGGGCAAGAGAGCCTTTTGAGTCGACTCAAAAGTGGAGGTAGGGCAAGAGAGCCTTTTGAGTCGACTCAAAAGTGGAGGTAGGGCAAGAGAGCCTTTTGAGTCGACTCAAAAGTGGAGGTAGGGCAAGAGAGCAATGAGTTTGTGAATGTGCGTGGCGAAGAGTGTGGGCGCTCTAGTGACGTCCACTAGATGCTCACAGATAGCCCAGGCGAGGCCTGCAAGGGGATGGGACGGGAACAAGCAGGGTCTCGAGAGCCGTGAGCTTGTGAAAGTGCGTGGCGAAGAGGGTGGGGCCTCTTGTCACGCCCAGTAGACGTTCACAGGTGGCCCACGCAAGAGCAAAAGCAACCGGAGCAGACCAGCACGTGCTGCGGCCGTCACTGTTGGAATTGCTATGCCGTAGCTCATCAGTGATAACCAGCGAGTGCAGAGTGGAGGCTGTCTCAAGCGAGCTCGGGGCGAAGCTGCCACTCACCAAACCCGTCATAAGTGGACGTTCCTCGCCCAAGCTCGTCGATGATCACCAGCGAGTGTGGCATGGCAGCATGCAGGATGGCTGCTGTCACTAGCTGCCACAGTTTCAACCATTTGTTGAAGAATCCAAGGCTGGCACTCACCGAATCCGTCATAAGTGGATGTTCCTCAACCCAGCTCATCGATGATGACCAGCGAGTGGGGCGTGGCGGCATGCAGAATGGTTGCTGTTTCAGGCCACCACTGTTTCAACACAGTGAATGCAACACGTACCAAAGCCGTCATAAGTGGACGTCCCCCTCCCCAACTCATCGATGATCACCAGTGAGTGCGGCGTGGCGGCATGCAGAATTGCAGCTGTTTCCAGCATCTCCGCCATGAAGGTGCTCACTCCCCTCAGCTGCGACAGTCACGAGTGAGGAACAACAGGGAGTGGAGCAAGGAGGAAGTTGGGGGCATGTGGTTGAATAAGCACCGCGCAGGATGGCGGCTGTTTCAAGCATCTCTGCCATGAAGGTGCTCACTCCCCCCTCAGCTGGCAAGAGACAAGGCAGGGAGGGGAGAAAAACCAAGAGAGGAAAGTAAAAGTAAAATTGAGGGAAGTAAAAGTGAGGGAAGTAAAAGTGAGGGAAGTAAAAGTGAGGGAAGTAAATCAACAGGACACGTGATTCGAGAAGACGGCTGTTTCAATCATCTCTGCCATGAAGGTGCTCACTCCCGCCTCAGCTGGCAAGAGACAAGGCAGGGAGGGGAGAAAAGCCAAGTAAAGAAAGTAAGGGAAGTAAAAGTGAGGGAAGTAAATCAACAGGGCACGTGATTCAAGATGATGGCTGTTTCAAGCATCTCTACCATGAAGGTGCTCACTCCCCCCTCAGCTGCCAAGAGAGACAGGGAGGGGAGAAGGATCACCATTAAGCAGGGGCACTAGAGAAAATGTGGAAGAGCCAGCGTGGAAAATGTGGAAAATGGGGAAGAGGGGTCGAAGGTGTGGAAGATGGGGAAGAGGGGTCGAAGGTGTGGAAGATGGGGAAGAGGGGTCGAAGGTGTGGAAGATGGGGAAGAGGGGTCGAAGGTGTGGAAGAAAGGGAAGAGGGGTCGAAGGTGTGGAAGATGGGAAAGAGGGGTCGAAGGTGGGGAAGATGGGGAAGAGGGGTCAAAGGTGGGGAAGATGGGGAAGAGGGGTCGAAGGTGGGGAAAATGGGGAAGAGGGGTCGAAGGTGGGGAAGATGGGGAAGAGGGGTCGAAGGTGGGGAAGATGGGGAAGAGGGGTCGAAGGTGGGGAAGATGCGGAAGAGGGGTCGAAGATGTCGAAGATGGGGAAGAGGGGTCAAAGATGTCGAAGATGGGGAAGAGGGGTCGAAGATGGGGAAGAGGGGTCGAAGATGTCGAAGATGGGGAAGAGGGGTCGAAGATGTCGAAGAGGGGTCGAAGATGTCGAAGATGTGGAAGAGGGGTCGAAGATGTGGAAGATGTCGAAGATGTGGAAGATGTCGAAGATGTGGAAGAGGGGTCGAAGATGTCGAAGATGTGGAAGAGGGGTCGAAGATGTCGAAGATGTCGAAGATGTGGAAGAGGCGTCGAAGATGTGGAAGATGTCGAAGATGTGGAAGAGGGGTCGAAGATGTGGAAGATGTGGAAGAGGGGTCGAAGATGTCGAAGATGTGGAAGAGGGGTCGAAGATGGGGAAGAGGGGTCGAAGATGTGGAAGATGTGGAAGAGGGGTCGAAGATGTGGAAGATGGGGAAGAGGGGTCGAAGATGTGGAAGATGTGGAAGAGGGGTCGGAGATGTGGAAGATGTGGAAGATGTGGAAGAGGGGTCGAAGATGGGGAAGATGGGGAAGAGGGGTCGAAGATGTGGAAGATGTGGAAGAGGGGTCGAAGATGGGGAAGATGGGGAAGAGGGGTCAAAGATATGGAAGATGTGGAAAAGGGGTCGAAGATGGGGAAGATGGGTCGAAGTTGTGGAAGATGTGGAAGAGGGGTCGAAGATGTGGAAGATGGGGAAGATGGGTCGAATTTGTGGAAGATGTGGAAGAGGGTTCGAAGATGTGGAAGATGAGGAAGAGGAGTCGAAGATGGGGAAGATGGGGAAGAGGGGTCGAAGATGTGGAAGATGGGGAAGAGGGGTCGAAGATGTGGAAGATGGGGAAGAGGGGTCGAAGATGTGGAAGATGTGGAAGAGGGGTCGAAGATGGGGAAGAGGGGTTGAAGATGGGGAAGAGGGGTTGAAGATGGGGAAGAGGGGTTGAAGATGGGGAAGAGGGGTTGAAGATGAGAAAGAGGGGTTGAAGATGGGGAAGAGGCGTTGAAGATGGGGAAGAGGGGTTGAAGATGGGGAAGAGGGGTTGACGATGTGGAAGAGGGGTAGAAGATGGGGAAGAGGGGTTGAAGATGGGGAAGAGGGGTTGAAGATGTGGAAGAGGGATTGAAGATGGGGATGAGGGGTTGAAGATGTGGAAGAGGGGTTGAAGATGGGGATGAGGGGTTGAAGATGGGGAAGAGGGGTTGAAGATGTGGAAGAGGGGTTGAAGATGGGGAAGAGGGGTTGAAGATGTGGAAGAGGGATTGAAGATGGGGAAGAGGGGTTGAAGATGTGGAAGAGGGGTTGAAGATGGGGAAGAGGGGTTGAAGATGTGGAAAAGGGGTTGAAGATGTGGAAGAGGGGTTGAAGATGGGGAAGAGAGATTGAAGAAGGGGAAGAGGGGTAGAAGATGGGGAAGCGGGGTTGAAGATGTGGAAGAGGGGTTGAAGATGGGGAAGAGGGGTTGAAGATGCGAAAGAGGGGTTGAAGATGGGGAAGAGGGGTTGAAGATGTGGAAGAGGGGTTGAAGATGGGGAAGAGGGGTTGAAGATGGGGAAGAGGGGTTGAAGATGGGGAAGAGGGGTTGAAGATGGGGAAGAGGGGTTGAAGATGGGGAAGAGGGGTTGAAGATGGGGAAGAGGGGTCGAAGATGGGGAAGAAGGGTTGAAGATGTGGAAGAGGGGTAGAAGATGGGGAAGAGGGGTTGAAGATGGGGAAGAGGGGTTGAAGATATGGAAGAGGGGTTGAAGATGGGGATGAGGGGTTGAAGATGTGGAAGAGGGGTTGAAGATGGGGATGAGGGGTTGAAGATGGGGAAGAGGGGTTGAAGATGTGGAAGAGGGGTTGAAGATGGGGAAGAGGGGTTGAAGATGTGGAAGAGGGGTTGAAGATGGGGAAGAGGGGTTGAAGATGTGGAAGAGGGGTTGAAGATGGGGAAGAGGGGTTGAAGATGTGGAAGAGGGGTTGAAGATGGGGAAGAGGGGTTGAAGATGTGGAAGAGGGGTTGAAGATGGGGAAGAGGGGTTGAAGATGGGGAAGAGGGATTGAAGATTGGGAAGAGGGGCTCAAAATGTGGAAGAGGGGTTGAAGATGTGGAAGACGGGTTGAAGATGTGGAAGAGGGGTTGAAGATGGGGAAGAGGGGTTGAAGATGTGGAAGAGGGGTTGAAGATGTGGAAGAGGGGTTGAAGATGGAGAAGAGGGGTTGAAGATGGGGAAGAGGGGTTGAAGATGGGGAAGAGGGGTTGAAGATGTGGAAGAGGGGTTGAAGATGGGGAAGAGGGGTTGAAGATGGGGAAGAGGGATTGAAGATTGGGAAGAGGGGCTCAAGATGTGGAAGAGGGGTTGAAGATGTGGAAGAGGGGTTGAAGATGTGGAAGAGGGGTTGAAGATGGGGAAGAGGGGTTGAAGATGTGGAAGAGGGGTTGAAGATGGGGAAGAGAGATTGAAGAAAGGGAAGAGGGGTTGAAGATGGGGAAGAGGGGTTGAAGATGTGGAAGAGGGGTTGAAGATGTGGAAGAGGGGTTGAAGATGGGGAAGAGAGATTGAAGAAAGGGAAGAGGGGTTGAAGATGGGGAAGAGGGGTTGAAGATGTGGAAGAGGGGTTGAAGATGTGGAAGAGGGGTTGAAGATGGGGAAGAGAGATTGAAGAAAGGGAAGAGGGGTTGAAGATGGGGAAGAGGGGTTGAAGATGTGGAAGAGGGGTTGAAGATGGGGAAGAGGGGTTGAAGATGCGGAAGAGGGGTTGAAGATGGGGAAGAGGGGTTGAAGATGTGGAAGAGGGGTTGAAGATGGGGAAGAGGGGTTGAAGATGTGGAAGAGGGGTTGAAGATGGGGAAGAGGGGTTGAAGATGCGGAAGAGGGGTTGAAGATGGGGAAGAGGGGTTGAAGATGTGGAAGAGGGGTTGAAGATGGGGAAGAGGGGTTGAAGATGGGGAAGAGGGGTTGAAGATGGGGAAGAGGGGTTGAAGATGGGGAAGAGGGGTTGAAGATGGGGAAGAGGGGTTGAAGATGTGGAAGAGGGGTTGAAGATGTGGAAGAGGGGTTGAAGATGCGGAAGAGGGGTTGAAGATGGGGAAGAGGGGTTGAAGATGTGGAAGAGGGGTTGAAGATGGGGAAGAGGGGTTGAAGATGTGGAAGAGGGGTTGAAGATGGGGAAGAGGGGTTGAAGATGTGGAAGAGGGGTTGAAGATGGGGAAGAGGGGTTGAAGATGTGGAAGAGGGGTTGAAGATGGAGAAGAGGGGTTGAAGATGTGGAAGAGGGGTTGAAGATGGGGAAGAGGGGTTGAAGGTGGTGAAGAGGGGTTGAAGATGGGGAAGAGGGGTTGAAGGTGGTGAAGAGGGGTTGAAGATGGGGAAGAGGGGTTGAAGATATGGAAGAGGGGTTGAAGATGTGGAAGAGGGGTCGAAGATGTGGAAGAGGGGTTGAAGATGTGGAAGAGGGATTGAAGATGTGGAAGAGGGGTTGAAGATGTCGAAGATGGGTTGAAGATGTGGAAGAGGGGTTCAAGATGTCGAAGACGGGTTGAAGATGTGGAACCAAGTGAGGCGGCGTGCAGGGAGGAGAGCCGAGCCGACAGTATAGGGGCAAGCAAGCAATGCTGACAACGTATAGGGTGCAGCGTTCAGGGTTTAGGGTTTAGGGTTTAGGGTGCAGGGAAAAAACACCAGTATAGGTGCAAGCAAGCAAACGTCATTCCACTTCCTTCCAGCTTGTCCATTCCAATTCCCCCCCGCACCTGGCAATCCCCATTACCCATGGAGCCAAAGATGGCATCTCGAATGCTCACTCCTCCCACTCGAGTGCGAGTGTGCGCCTCCAACTCGCTCCCACTTTCTCCCCCGCAATCAACAGCCAGTTCCCCATCCTTTCTCCCCCCCCCCCTCACATGGCAATCCAACGCGGGTAAAGATGGCGTCTCGTATGCTCACGTGTGCCTTCCCACTCGTTTCCTCCCCTCCAAACAACCGCCAGTCAACCATCCCCTCCCCCACCTCACCTGGCAATCGCCAACGCCTACGCGTGGAAAGATGGCGTCTCGGATGCTCACGTGTGCGCGGGAGCAAGGCACAAACGAGCCCACCTGTGCCATCAGCACCACCACCCCCACCTGCAGCACAAGGAGGGGGTGAAGCAAGGACGAGGGTATGTGTTTTGGGGAGTTGAGGACGTGCTTTGCTCACGTGTGCGCGGGAGCAAGGCACGAAGCACCCCACCTGCGCCATCAGCACCACCACCCCCACCTGGCACAGACACAAGCGGTGAGGCAAGGATGAGGGAATGTGTTTTGAGGAGCTTTGGGTCTGCTTTACTCACGTGCGCACAGGAGCAAGTGACAAAGGACCCCACCTCCGCCATCAGCACTACCACTCCCACCAGTGTCACACAAGCAGGGTATGGGAATGAGAGGATATGTTTTGAGTAAAGGACGTGTTGTGAGGAGTTGGGGACGTCTATGTGAACTTTATGCAATGCACCTGGCGTGTGAACGCACCTCACGTAAATAGAATGCGTGACATTTGCGCGCACCTCAAGTCGAAAACGCATCTGACGGTATAACACACCTGAAGTAAAAAACACACCTGACGTATAAACGTTGACTTGCCGCCCATGTTGGGGCCTGTGATGATTTGAAACCAGCTGCGACCCCTCTCCTGATGGGGTGGGGTGAGTAGTGGGTGGGTGGAATGCAGTACATGAGAAGCGGTACAAAGGGCTACCTTTGGGTACTGTCGGGTGCTATGAGGTGATGATTGGCAGATGGGAGCGGTTGGGAGCAGATGGGAGCAGATGGGAGCAGATGGGAGCAGATGGGAGCAGATGGGAACGCCGATGGTGAATGGGAACACACCAGGTGGCAGTGGTTGGGGATGGAGCTGACGTCATCCTGCACCTCCACACATGGATGCCGCCTGTCCTCCAACACTATGTCGCCCTCCTCCTGCATGCCATGTGACATGTGAGGGAGTAGGGCGCAGAGGGGGGAGAAGGGGGAATGAGAGCGGAGAGGGGACATGGAAACACTGCACCTCCACACATGGATGGCAGCTGTCCTCCAACACTAGGTCGCCCTCCTCCTGATGCCATGCCATGTGAGGGAGTAGGGCGGAGAAGGGGGAGAAGGCGGGATGAGAAGGCGGGGAGAAAGTGGGACATAGAAACACATGGGCACACATGGATGGCGACTGTCCTCCAACACTAGGGCGCCCTTCTGTATTCCATGCCATATCATGCCATGTCATGTGATGCGCCAAGAGATGGGAAGACGGGGGAAGAGGAATCAGGAGGGAGAGGATGGAAATTGCAGCTGGGAAAATATGGAAGGCAATAAGGCAGGAATGGGAGCAACAAGACAACTTATGAGCCGAGTGAAAAAATAATTATGGTTGGCAATAAGGCATTGGGGCAACAAGACATTGGCCAAGTTGCAAGCTTGAAAGGTACACATTTTGTCCTCCAAGACGCGATAAAAAGTGCACTGAATTTTCTCACCAGCTGGATTCCGAGGTTCGTACCGGGCCTTAGATGGAGGGTCGGACATAGGGAGTGGGTGCCGAAGCTGCTAGCTCGGCAAAGCCCTGAAGCACGTCCATTTCGGCAATGAGTGCTGCCACGCCCTCAAACACCTGTTGGCATGCCAAGGAACGAAAGGACACGTGCAGGGGAGTGTGCATGATGCTTTTGCTGGTGCACCTCAAAAGTCAAAATGTGTGCGACACCTGTGATCCAGCGCCTAGCTCAACAACAGCAGGGCGCTGCCGAACCGCCATATGCGAATCCGTGAAACCCACAGAAGCCTCGATGTGGGGCATGACTGGACAGCCTAACCCCAAAGCTTGAACCTGAAACCCTAATCCCGTTTGTGACCACCTCCACCACCACTTTGTTTGCCAGCTCCCTCTGGACCCCCATGTACTGCCTGAGGCTGATGAGGTTTGGGCTGATACACCTGATACTAACACAGAGGGAGCCTGATACCACCCTTGGCCAAGCATGGGTTCCGAACACCATGCTTCAGATCGTACAGCCTGCCTTCTCTCACCTCCAAGAACATCTGCGCCACTTCCACAACCTTGTTCACCAGCTCCCGCTGAGCCGCATTGTACCACATAAGTCCCAGACCCAGCCTGAAGCATGGCTCCCAACACACTAGACTGTGCATCCGAAACCCCTGAATCCTGAACCCTGAGAATCCAAACCCAACTCTCTGAGCTCTCACCTCCAAGAACGTCTGTGCCACTTCCACCACTTTGTTCACCAGCTCCCGTTGAGCCGCCATGTACAGTATGCGCCCCACAAAACCTTGGGCCCGAAGCATGGGTTCCAACACCAGAAAGTACAGAATGGACCCAAACCCTGAACCCCAAACCCTTCTCTCACCTCCAAGAACGTCTGAGCCACTTCCACCACCTTGTTGACCAGCTCCCGCTGAGCCGCCATGTACGAATCCGTGAGCGCCACGTGGCGCTCGCTCAGCCTCCGGAGCTTCGCATTAGTGAACTTAACTCCGTCCTTCCTCGTCTCGAGGGTCACATACGACGAATTCAGCTTCTTCCTAACGGTCGTCTACTCTTTCTTTGTTATCTCGTAGCAATACCCCGCCTGCGCCGTCTTATCTAATTTAATCGTCTTATCCACTACCAGACCTAAATCGTTTGCTGCTTGCTGCAATGCTCTCTGCACTTCGACTTCAACCCCCTCCCTCTCCTCTTTAATCTCCCCTAGGCTTGGGTCATAACCTGGAGCTATTAAATACTCTCCGTTTGACTGCAGAGCGTCTAAGTCTACTGCTGCTTCCACCAGACCCTCGTACTTAGCTAAGTGCTCCGCCCCGCACCACTCGAGCAGGCTCGCGCCAAACCTCTCGTGCAGCATCGGGCGGAACGAGCCTCCGTGGGTTTCAAGCACCTCTCGGATGAATGGAAGGCGAATGCTGGCCTGAAATGAGGGCCGAAAACGGAAAAGGAGAAAAGGGAGGGTTGGTGGGTAGGGGAGCAAGCAGAGCAGAGGGAAAAGAAGAGGGGAGCAGGTGAGAGGGAGGGCGATAGGTGGGTTCCAATCACCTCGTTGATGAAAGGAAGACTTTTGAGTCGACTCAAAAGTCACCTCAGGACAATAGGTGGGTTCCAATCACCTCGTTGATGAAAGGAAGGCGAATGGTGGCCACGGGGTGGGCCCCAATTAGGTGCCATGACTTTACGTGGCAGCAACTATGTTTTTTAGGTAAAAAATGTGTGTAAAAGGTGCTTGCTTGTAGACCTTGTGAAGAAAAGTTTGATGGTAACCGGTTTCAGCATATAGCCTTCTTCAGACCACAAGGAGAAAATGAGCAAGCAAGCTACGTCAAATACCAACCCCTAGGGCTCCATCGCGTGGCATTCCGTCGCGGGGCCTGGGTGGTGGGGGGACGAATAGAAAATAGTACAGTACAAACATGCACAAGAAATCTAACTCTTATGAGCGGAAATAAGAAAATTCCCTACTCTATGCGGTAGCCTCCAAGCAATAATAGCTCTCCGTGAAGAAAACACACCGTGTGACATTATACTAAGGTGACTTTTGAGTTGATTCAAAATGTTCCCCAGGCGAGAACGGTCAATCAGAGGGTTGCGCAACAGTTTCAGCACCAGGGGGCCACGGGTTGGAGAGTTGCGAATAGCAGAGGCATGCTGGAGAAGTTCCCCACGACTAGCAAAAAGCACTGACTTCAAAATCAGAAGAGGAAACTTCTCCAGATACCCGCGTGCACGTAGTCGAGCAAAGAAAAGTGCGCGGGAGTGAAAAAAATCAGCCTGAGAGGACGAGCGCAGAAGAAAACGCTGCAACTCGCTGCGAATGAAACCCAGTTTTGTTGACCGGGTGTGGTAAGACTTAAACGGCAGGTATAAGCAACGGTTCATCGGCTTCTGAAACAGCTTCATGTCCAGAGTGCCAAATCCCGAAACCTCTGACCTTTAAACACCGTCAGGTCCAGAAAGTCCATAGTCTGTTATGAAATGACCCAGGTCAGACGAATCGAAGGATGAAGAGATTCGAACCGCTTCCGAAACAAATCAAAATCCTCTCGCGTTCCTTCCCACATGATCAAGCCGTCGTCAATAAAACGCCGGTGCAGAGCGGGGGAAACGCGAAGCGAGGCATGAAGTTGAATGTCCAGATAGCTCAGGAACAGAACAGCGAAGCACACAGCTACTGACGTTCCCATAGCAGTACCCTGAACTTGGCGGAAAAAGCGGCCGTTGAAAGAGACGTAATTGTTAAACATAACCCATCGAAGTAAGCGAACGATGACAGGTGTAAGACGGTGCCGTTCCTTCTGAAGAAAGAAGTTGACAGCATCAATCCCATCCCATAGCGGAATGGAAGGATAAAGAGATTCCACGTCATATGAAGCGAGTAGGAGGTTGGAAGAGAAATTCCTCTGCTCCAGCTCGACAATAAGGCTTTTAGAATCCTTGACGTAGGAAGGCTGCTTCAGGACCAAGGACGAAGAACTGAATCCAGCCAGCGGGAAACATTAGTAGTCACCCAAGAATGGCAAGCGGCAATCGGTCGACCAGCAGGAATCTTCTTGTGAATTTTAAGAAGAACGTAGAACGCAGGAACTTTCCAGCCGGAGTTAGGTTTATTAAAAAAGGAATCCCAGACCCGGGCTTTGATAAGCGGACTCCATTCTGAACGGATCAGGTGAAGCTCATCGACAATCTCGGGCACTGGAACAAAAGAATATTCTTTGTAAACTTTCTCGTCGAGCAGATGTAAAAGGCACTTCTCCTGATAATAATCTCTGCTCATGACTGTAAGACCGAGGTTTTTATCCGCAGGTTCGAAAATGAGAGAAGGGTCATTCGCAAGACGCCGAAGAATCGGGAAGACATTCTTCGCTTTTCTGGTGAGTGTAGAGAAGGATTGTCCAGTAATTTCTTTAATGGTTGCTTCCTTGAAAACCTCCAAAGCCGTCTCAACAGCAGGAGAGGCTGGTGGAGGTGACCACTGTTCTCGTTTTGGTAACTTGTACCCTGAGTAACAAAAAGAGTCAATGCCATGAAAAAGATACATGGTCCTAACACTTCGAAAGAAAGATGCGATTTCAGCTTCAAAGGAGGCGACACTGTCAGAATATTATAGCTTACTTATTTGTGTAGGCCATAGTGGGGTATCCCATAGGGGGTACAACCCAACTAGGGTTTCCTATTTGTACTCACTTCGTTCATAGTCATTCCATTCTCGTTCTAACTTTATCATGGTATCGAGCAGGTTCCCCCGTGGGAACTGTGCTTAGGGCCCACCACATCGAACCTTTTTTTTCCGCCCGGAGCGCGCTCCGGGCCCTTGCTCTTACTTTTTTTTTTTCGATCTGCCCTACGGCCCGAGCGCCGCCTTAGCGCGCCGCCCGCCCTAGCAGCCCGAGCGCCGCCTTAGCGCCCGCGCCCCGCTGCCCGCCCTCGCGCCCTAGCGCCCGCGCGCTGCCCAGAGCCGCCCGTGCGCCATCCAGACCGCCCGTGCGCTAGCCGCCCGACGCGCCAGCCGCCCGAGGCCCGCTAGCCGCCCGACGCCCGCTAGCCGCCCGACGCCCGCTAGCCGCCCGACGCCCGCTAGCCGCCCGACGCCCGCTAGCCGCCCGACGCCCACTAGCCGCCCGTCGCGTGCGCGCCGCACGACGCCCGCTAGCCGCCCGTGGGCTGCCCGTGCGTCGCCCTCAGCAGCCCGACGCGCCGCCCGTGCAGCCGCCCGTACAGCCGTCCGTGCAGCCGCCCGTGTACCGCCCGTGCAGCCGCCCGTGCAACCGCCCGTGCTGCCGCCCGACGCGCCACCCGTGCAGCCGCCCGTGAGCCGCCCGTGCACCGCCCGTGCAACCGCCCGTGCAGCCGCCCGTGCAGCCGTCCGTGCAGCAACCCCACGAGCCGATCGTGAGCCGCCTCAGCCGCCCGTGCAGCCGCCCGTGAGCCGCCCGCGAGCCGCTCGTGAGCCGCCCGCCACGACGCCCGCGCCGCCCGTGAGCCCCAGCGTCACCCGAGCCGCATGAGCCGCCCGAGCAGCAGAGCCGCCCGAGCCGCCCGTGCTGCTGCGTGCCCGAGCCGCCCTAGCCGTCCGAGCCGCCCGACCCGCCCGTGCCGCCCGAGCCGCCCGAGCCGCCCGAGCCACCCGAGCCGCCAGAGCCGTCTGAGGTGCCGAGCTCCTGCTCCTGTGGGGCTGCTACTGCTCCTCGGCCGGCGGAGTTGGTGTGCTGCTGTGTTGCTGTGCTGCTAAGGGACCCGACCCTTCCTGTCCGGTGAGACTGTCAGCTGCTATCATGGCCACCCCCAGTGTCCTGGCTTTTGACGCTGAGGGTCGTGCCATTGACTTTGCAGTCTGGGTCGACGACTTGCAGCTGTACTTGCTTTGCGATACGGTAGATGAAGTTTCTCTCTTTGACTTTGTCTCTAGCGCTGTACCTGCCCCTCCTGCTGATGCTGACCCCACTGTGCGCTCCAAGTGGGCCTCACGCGATGCTGCTGCACGTCTTGCTGTGCGTCGCCACCTCCCTTCCTCCGAGCGCGCACACTTTAGTCAGTGCAAGACCGCTCAGGCCTTGTACGACGCTGTAGTTGCGCGCTACTCCTCCCCTTCCTCTGCTACACTAAGCCGCCTCATGCTACCGTACCTCTTCCCTGACCTTGCTGCCTTTCCTACAGTCGCTGACCTCTTTACCCACCTTCGCGCTAATGACACTCGCTACCGAGCTGCGTTTCCTGCTGCCTTCTGCGCCGAAAACCCCCCTCCCATGTACATCACCCTCTACTTTCTAGTCACCCGTCTCCCTGACTCCCTTCGTGCTGTTAGGGACCGGTTTCTCTCTGTCTGTCCCACCACCCTCACTGTCGACCTCCTCGAGAAGTCCCTGCTAGCGGTCGAGAAGAGCATAGTCGCTGTAGGGGCCTCTCGTGGTGACCCCCGCACCCCCATCTTTGAGGGGTGTTCTCCTTCCCCCCTGTTACCCTCTATCGCCTCTTCTGCTGCGGCCGACCTCGTTGGTCTAGAGTCGGTCGGTGCGGCGTCTGCCCCCAGCGGTAGGCGCCTCTATGGCAAGGGCAAGGGGGGCAAGGGAGCGGGTGGAGCTAGCGGGGGCGGTAGTGGAGGAGGTGGGGGCGGCGGGGGGAGTGGGGGTGGCGGTGGAGGTGGTGGCGGGGGTGGAGGTACTAGTGGCGGCAGTGGAGGCGGAGGTGGCGGCGGAGGTGGCGGTGCAGGTGGCGGTAGGAGCGGCATGGGCGAGGGTGGCGGTGGTGGCGGTGGCGGCGGAGGCGGGGGTGGCGGTGGTGGAGGTGGTCGGAGTGGCTCGTCCCAGCGGAGCAGCACTGGGGGTGGTCAGCGCCAGCAGCAGCAGCAGCAGCGCTCTCGCGACGTCCCCGCCCCTCAGCAGCTCCATGAGTGGTACTCGCAGCGTCAGCGTGGTGGGGCGTTCAGTCCCTGCACCTACGTCCTTCGCACCAGCGACCGCGCGGGTGAGCAGTGTGGGGGCACCCACACCACCCGCCGCTGCTTTGCCCGCTTGACCGACGCTTGGCGCCAGCAGTTTCCGGAGGCCTCTGAGATCCCCCGCTGGGGAGAGCTGTCTAGGGCTGGTGTAGCCATCTTTGATCTTGACTTTGATGCTATCCTTGCTACAATGTATGCTGTAACTGTTAGTGATGAGGGTGACTGTTACCGGTGTTTCCCGCCCGACCCGGGCATTGGTACTGCTGCGTCACGTGCCAGTGAGGCTGCTGCTCTAGGTGCCAATGCGTCTGTGCTCTCAGGTACTAGTGAGTCTGCACTCTCAGGTACTGTGTCGGCTTCGGCCTCTCACACCTTCACCCTTGACTCTTGGGCGTCTCGCTCCTTCTTACGGGACCGCA